CCCGCCGCTCCTCCGCGCCGGGCCGCCCTCACCTGTCCCTGCACGCCCCCTGCACCTGCTCTGCTTGGAACCCCGGGGCTTCTCGGTGCCTCCCCGCCCCAGGCCTGGCCTTTCTCAGAGCGTCTTCTGCTAGAGATGCAGCCACCTGCTAAGTGCCCGTCCCTCAAACTGGCGGTGGGGGGTTCCTGCTGTAGTCGAGATGGTGTTGGCGAGTTATTTATTTATTTTTTAAAAATCTATATCCTGAGTTTCTCGCTTGTAAACTACAGTTTCTGTCTCCGCACCCCCGTCTGGAGACCTACACTGGGATCCCTGGTTTCTCTGTGCTATTCCAGAGCTATTCATTCATTCCAGACTTCTGGTGTGAAGCTGCAGGGAGGACAAACAGTTTGCTCCTTTATTGACCTTCTCACTCCTCTTCTCTCGATCCAAAGAGGTTTTCGGGAAAATGGCTTACGGATGGCAGCAGTTTGCACTTGTTACTGTTCACTATAGTAGGTCGCTGGATTGTAACTGCAGAGTCCATTTAAGTTATGGTCTTTTTCAAGCTGTATGTGGGTCACATTTTAAGATCCCTTGAGAGTCAGGGTGGTTGTCTGTATTATCAGGCTGAGAGGACATGACCAATTATTACTTTAAAATATTGCAATATAGCATACCCTGAAAGTACAAGAGAAAAAAAAATCAAGGTCATTGTGGGCGGGTCATAAATTATATTGTAAAGTTACAGTCCAAAGACGACCAACGATAATTAAGTGCAATTTAAAAAGATGTGTTAAATAGGTCCTCAGCCTACTGTGCTAATATGTGCACTTTTAAAAATTCACTGCCTTCCTTGTGGTAAGAATGATATATTTTTTTTTTTTTTTGAGACGGAGTCTCGCTCTGTCCCCCAGGCTGGAGTGCAGTGGCGCGATCTCGGCTCACTGCAAGCTCCGCCTCCTGGGTTTACGCCATTCTCCTGCCTCAGCCTCCCGAGTAGCTGGAACTACAGGCGCCCGCCACCTCGCCCGGCTAGTTTTTTGTATTTTTTTTAGTAGAGACGGGGTTTCACCGCGTTAACCAGGATGGTCTCGATCTCCTGACCTTGTGATCCGCCCGCCTCGGCCTCCCAAAGTGCTGGGATTACAGGCTTGAGCCACCGCGCCCGGCCAAGAATGATATTAATAACAGTCACCATTTGATGACTACTTAGTATGTGCCATTCCTGGATTAAAAGGCTTTTGGTGTAATATTAAATTCTTCCAATTCTTTAGATGTTACTTATTTTAAAGATAAAATTCAGAGAGATGCTCTATTTTTCCTTAGTTGTGCCATCTCTTAAAAGCAAAAAGATGTTTGAAGAATTGAGATGAGAAATCAATTGGAAAGAAAACCAAATGAGATTTGGTGTCATGAAAAGAAAAACTAGATTCTAGTCCCATTTCTGTCACTATCCAGCTGTGGGGTCATGGGTAGGGCAATGACCCATGTTATTTTCTGTATATCATCATAAATTCTTTAAGGCTTATTTTAGCTTTTCCATGCTTACTTGGAAAATGTTATGTTTTTAAATAATATAAGACCCTTTAACGTGTTGAAGGTACATTGAAAACATATACGATGTATTAGTAAAATTATATCTAAATACAAGTTAAAATGTATAGTTCCATAATTGTTTTGGTGTAGTACTCTTCCATAATTCATCATTTTCGATGGAAACAATTCTGTTAGATCCTTTCACACTGTTGAGATTTCTGTTAACATACTTGGGAAGCTGTAGTTGGAATAAATGAAATAGAACATCATTTAAAGAAAATAATGAGGACTGTGTCACTTTTGCCTATGAGGTGCTTAAATCTAAGCGTTTAAAAATGCAGACACATAATCAGCTTAACAGGAAGTTCTGAGATAAGAATCAATGAATCATAACATTTGTACTTCTTATTTGTCTACTGCCTCATTTCTTTAATTCGTAATGACTGATTCAGAACCTATGGAAAAGCACATGAATAAAATAATAGTTTTATAAAATGTGACCCACATATAGCTTGAAAAAGACCATAACTTAAATAGCCTCTGCAGTTACAATCCAGGGACTTGTTATAGTGAATAGTAACAAATGCAAGCTGCTGCCATCCGTAAGCCATTTTCCCGAAAACCTCTTTGGATGGAGAGGAAAAGAGTGAGAAGGTCAATAAAGGAGCAAACTGTTTGTCCTCCTGCTAGTCTTATTATATAGTGGTTTAGTGAAGAAACTGCTTGAGAAGTTGAGTAATGTCTCCATGGAGCTGTTTTTCTGGAATTGTAATTGAATGTGACTCAATGAAAACTTTTTTAGCATAGGCGGTGACACAGTGGCAGTATCAGTACTACCAGGCAAAATGGGGAAGGCAAAGGAAAGGCTGCTTTTATTGCCAAGAGCTTGTTCCCTAAATGCAGTTTTATTTTATTTTAAGGAATGTAACCTTTTATGTTGTTTTAGTAAAACATGAGGGCTCAGATTCAACTTTTCACATACATTAGTTATAATAGGCAATTTAGCATCTAGTAGAATAATCAGTGCTTAAATAACTTTTATTAAAGTTTAAAATACAGGTGAAATTGTTAAAACAGTTTTTATTGTTGAAAGTGATTTGTTAAGAATTCTTGATAAGTCAGGCTAGTTTAAAAAGCACATTTTCTTAGACATGTGAATCATCACTGCTCATTGATAGCTCCCTGAACAAAAATACCCTAGTATGATGGTAGTTTGTTTGTTTCGCTCTTTAGATCTAACCTGGGTAAAATTGTGGCATTTTTGAAGTTTGCCTTCTGCCTTTCAAGCTGCTTTTTCCTCTGTGCTATTTCTCTCAGGGTAGATTCACCTTCTTCTCCATTTCAGAGATTCTCTTAACCTATGTGTTGCTCCTTCTACAAAAGGGCAGGTTGGGTAAAAGAGGTATTTTACCATTCACTGATGAATTTTTTAAAATTCTAATGTAAAATGCTCGAGTGTGATATCAACCAGGCTTCTGATTTTAAGCTTTTTATCTGTAATTACAGAATGAAGAACTTTTTCACTTACTGCAGGATTTTCAGCTTCAGCAAGCAGGTGAGGAGAGATTTTTCTTATGGTGTTAGTGTTCTTAAATCATGCCTGCTTTGGTAAAGCCTGGTGTGAAGGAAATCTAATTTAGTCTCCTACCCCCCACCCCACCCAATCTCTCTTGGTGCAGTGGGTACTAAAAGGTAAGTAGCAGGCTTCCCCTTCCTTCTTGGAAGAACATACTTGATTCATATCCAGGAAAAGCCTGGGCCTCTTCATTTCTGACTTTTACTGTATCTGACGGTTTTTCCTTATGCTGATTTTGGAACAAAAGTTATCTGTTTTTCATCCCCGTCCCTATCCTGCAATTAATCTTGCCCTTTCAGTCCCTTTTCCCACTCCTATCTCCCTAAATGAAAACTCCCACAGAGACATTTTGTACTGACTGAAACAACATTTGGTGGTCTTTAATTCATATCGCCCCACACCTCCCAAGCTATTTTTACTTTTTGTTAGAAGATTCTAATGAAGTGAGCTTGAGCTGGGGAGAATGGAGACCGAGGCTGCAGTGAGCTCTGATTGCAGCACTCCAGTCTGGACAACATAGTGAGACCCTGTCTCAGACAAACACACATAAAAAACAGTGCCCCAGTTACCTACTTTCTCTAAAGTTAAAGCAAGTTAATGCAAGTAGGGAAAAATAAAGGTAAATGCCTGTATTAGCAGTACTAATACTACTAGTACTAGTACTGCTAGTACAGGATAGTGTTAACAGTATTAATAATACTTCAGTGTAGTACTACTAATACAGTCATTTGTATTTATTTTTTACTCATGAGACTGGTAAACACAAAAGCAAATTTATGAGAAGAGCAACAGCTTATGCTCAGTTTTGCCCAGAATGTAATTTAAAAACTTAGTCTACAGAGTCGAGTCTTGAAACTATTGATGGTGCATGCACGTATGTTATGCTTTGACACTTTGTCCACCCACATTTTTACAGTCTTCCTGGAAAACTCAGCAATTGATTCAGAATCCCTGCTTGCATTGTACTTTCTTTATTAGCTTCTGAAATCAAGTACTGATTTTCTTTCACACTTTATTTCTTTGCTCACCAGTCCTGCTTTTACTTGAAAGTGATTTACTTTAGGGGCTTTAATTCAGTCATTCTATTTTTTTTTTTAGATGGGGTCTTGCTCTGCTGCCCAGGCCGTAGTGCAGTGGGGCAATCTCGGCTCACTGCAAGCTCCTCCTCCCAGGTTCACACAATTCTTCTGCCTCAGCCTCCTGAGTAGCTGGGACTACAGGCGCCCACTACCACACCTGGCTAATTTTTGTATTTTTAGTAGAGACAGAGTTTCACCGTGTTAGCCAGGATAGTCTCGATCTCCTGACCTCGTGATCTGCCCACCTCGACCTTCTAAAGTGCTGGAATTACAGGCGTGAGCCACCGTGCCCGGCCTAGTTCAGTCATTCTATTTTAGATCAAATCTCTATTTTTGTTTTCTGCTTAAAGAACCTCCCCCCCAGCCAACATGTAGAAATACAGCTTCAGCTAGTGTAATACTAGCTGAAGGGCTCTCATATTTGAAGTTTTTTTTAACTTGTTCAGACTTTAGAAAAGTAGATAACGGGGCATATTTTGTTGTTCTTGTGCTTGTTTTGTTTTTTGTTTGAGACAGAGTCTCACTGTTGCCCAGGCTGAAGTGCAGTGTAGTCAGAGCTCACTGCAACCTTGGTCTCCATCTCCCTGGCTTAAGCGATCCTCCCACTTCAGCCTCCCAATAAACTGGGACTACAGACGAGTGCCCCCACACCCGGCTGGTTTTCTGTTTGTTCGTTTTTTGTTGTTGTTGTTGTTGTTGTTGTTGTTTTTGAGACAGAGTCTTGCTCTGTCTCCCAGGCTAGAGTGCAGTGGGGCAATCTCAGTTCGCTGCAAGCTCTGCCTCCTGGGTTCAAGTCTCAGCCTACTGAGTAGCTGGAATTACAGGTACCTGCCATCACATCTGGCTGATTTTTGTATTTTTAGTAGAGATGGGGTTTCACCGTGTTGGCCAGGTTGGTCTTGAACTCCTGACCTCAGGTAATCCACCCGCCTCGGCCTCCCAAAGTGCTGGGATTACAGGGATGAGCCACTGCTGTTTGTTTTTTAACTAGAGACTAGGTCCGGCTATGTTGCCCAGGCTGCTCTGGATCTCCTTAGCTCAAGCAATCCTACCCAACTCACCTCCCAAGTGTTATGATTACAGGCAAGAGCAGGCCCTGGGGTATTGTTAAACCGTTTCATTACTTTTAATGATGGGGACCCAGAAACATTGTTTCATTCTGGAGTTTGTAAAACTAGAAGTAAAACTTATCTTTCACTTTCCCTTCCTCTCCTCTCTCCTTCACTCCCCTGTAAAGTTAGCATTTTGGAGGTGCTGCTTTGCCAGGCAATTTCTCTTTTAAGCGTGACAGCAACTGTGTAAGTTGACATTTTTATCTCCATTTTACAGATGGTCAAACTGAAGCTTGAAAATAAACTGAAGCTTGGAAAGTGAATAAGAGACTGTGTCATAATTTCTCTTTTAACATCTGTAGAAGATTAATTTTTTAATCTGTTGATAATCAACTGAATATCTATGTGATATTTAAAAAATTGAATTCCTAATTGCCAGGGAGAGCGTGATTTTTATAGAGAATTATTTAACTGCCTACACTTGACCAGTTTTCAGAGTAGAATGATATTAGAAGTCAAAAAGTTTTACAAATATGTTTTTAGCTGTAACTGTGCTTTCTAAATTCATTGTTGGCTGTAATTAATAAGTTTAAAATTTCATATATTCATCTAATAAGCATTTTCTCTTGGCACTGTGGGAAAAAAAATTTGGTGTGTTTGAAAACTTAGCTTGTAAATTGTTGATTGTATTCTTTCAGGCATAGCAATATCAAAAATATTTAATGACATATAGTTTTGAAACTTTGGAATTGTTTTGTTATTCCGATTTTTTGGATGTTTAGGCCCAACATTACTTTTGTTTGTTTGTTTTGTTTTTGAGACAGGGCCTTGCTCTTGCACCCAGACTGGAATGCAGTGGCACGATGATCTCTGCTCACTGCAGCTTCCGCCTCCTGGGTTCAAGCTTCTAGTGATTCTCATGCCTCAGGCTCCCGAGTAGCTGGGATTACAGGCGGGCGCCACTATGCCTGGCTAGTTTTTGTATTTTTGGTAGAGACAGAGTTTCACCATGTTGGCCAGGCCAGTCTCAAACTCCTGACCTCAGATGATCTGCCCACCTTGGCCTCCCAAAGTGCTGGGGTTACAGGCATGAACCACTGTGCCTGGCCCAGCATTACTTTTATTACCACATAGATGAGATTTGATTTCTAGCGGTGGTGGTGTTTATCTATTACTGAAATACGAATCTCATTTCAGAGTCTGCAGTGTAGCTCTGATAACTATAAATGTAAAGTAGGATTTTTCTTGATTTTAAGCCAGTGAGTGACTGGGATTTGACTCATGGGTGATTGACGTGTGCTATAACCTACTAACGTTACTGACAGAAACTACTGTTTTGCTGAAACATTAGGAAGCCACTCTCAAGTCACAGACTTAGCAGCATTATTGTTTTTGGCCATGTTTCAAAAACGTTTTGTTGTACCGCATTTAATTCTGTTTGAGTTTTTTCCTGAAAGAGTTCATTTATTTGCCATTGGGGTAGCAGCTCTTTAACTTTTTTATTTTTTTGAGATGAAGTCTCGCCCTGTTGCCCAGGCTGGAGTGCAGTGGTGCAATCTCTGCTCACTGCAACCTCTGCCTCTTGGGTTCAAGCGATTCTCGTGTCTTAACGTTATAAGTAGTTGTGATTACAGGCACACACCACCATGCCCAGCTTATTTTTGTATTTTTGGTGAAGACAGGGTTTTGCCGTGTTTGCCAGACTGATCTTGAACTCCTGACCTCAAATGATCCTCCCACCTCAGCCTCCCGAAGTGCTGGGATTACAGGCATGAGCCACTGTACCCAGTCTTTAACTTTGTAATTCTGTGTTTAGTCTCTAAAAAGCAAAGGTGCAGCCAAGGAGCCCACTTTAGATTAGCTTAAAAAGTTAAGAGTAGAAACAAAGTTCATTTGACAATCTAACAATTATGGACCATAGAGAAGTTGACCTTGGGAGGAAATACAAGTTCCCTGCCCCCCACAAATATATAAAGGCAAAAGAAATGTAATGGTAATAATTTTGGTGTGTTTTTTACATTCTCAGTATTTAATAGTTTGCTATTGCTGTGATAACCAGCACACTTAACACACTTGTAACTTGTCCTTTGTTTCCTGTCTTGGAGAATGGTTCCACCCTTCACCTAGATCCTAATGTGAAACTTGGGAGCCATCCTAGTCTGCCCTTTGCTCCCAATTGATCTCTAAGCCCTATCAGTTTTATTTATTTAAGTTCTCCCAGATCTGCCCTTTTTCAGTATACCTCCTGTCTTAGGTGTCACTACCCCACCCACTCACACACACACACACACACACACACACACAATTCCCCTTATCAGTTACCATTTTTGGGGTGCTTACCCCATGTGCCCTTATCATTTCTTGCCGGGTTAACAGTTGCATGTAGTCAATCTCAGTGCTTTATCAGTCCACCAAAATTCAGCCCTCAGATTGTGTCTGTTCTTCCGAAAATGCAAATTTGATCATGGCGTTTTACTGCCTAAAATCCCTTAGTGGTTTTCCACTGTGTTCAAGGTGAAATCCAAACTCATTGGCATGGTTTAACAGTGTTTTTCAATCTGAGGATCTACCTGTGGGTCATGAAATCGGTTTAGTAGGCTGTGACCAGTATTATACATTTTTATTAAAGTAAAATAAATAGGTTGCAGTGGTACCCAACTGTAGTGCCAGCGGCCCAGGAGGCTGAGGCAGGAGGATTGCTTGAGCCCAGTGTGCTATGATCGCACCTGGGAATAGCCACCGCGCTCCAGCGTGGGCAACATAGTCAGACCCAGTCTAAAAAAAAAAAAAAAAGAAAGAATAGCAATATCAGCGTGTGTCATATGTAGTAAGGGTAAATATCACTTCATTAAACTTTTTTAGTTATTCATATATATCTGTGTGTACTAGTAATGTTATAAAATTTATTAGAGTTGGTTGTGGTCAAAAGGATGAACGTCTTACCCCATTCTATATGCAGTGATTCTTGTTATTTCAGTTTACTCAGATTTCTTTTGCCTGCTTTTATGCCTTTGCTTTTTCTGTTCTCTTGGTCTGAAGAGTCTCCATTCTTCATCTAGCAAACTCACAGGGTTTGTTGTCTTCAGGAATCTTTTCCTGATGGCTATGTACCGTAAGAAATAAATTTTGTAATATGACCTATGAACCAATATCCTTAACATATGAGGTAGCAGTCTTGTCCCCTTGCCCTCTTTCTTAACTTGTCTTACTGGTCTTGTCTGTTTGCTAGTCTGCCTCCGTTGAAGATAGAGTCTTTCTTTTTCATCTATACCCTGTGTTAAAGTGTAGTATGTATAGTAGTTAAATGTTGATTGAGTTAATAAAATAGTGCATCAGTATATGTTATATACAGCACTTTACAGTATATATTTTTAAGCCTGAATTGTAGAAACTGACTTATGTTTGACTCTCTTAATGGTTTCATTACATGAGGATTAACTGTCTTAAAACATTTTAAATTAAAACTTCCATTTTAAGCTGTTTATCTTTGTTTATGAATTGTGATTATGTACTTCTAGCAGAATCTATTGTTATTTTGTGACTTGTGGCCAAGGAAGTGTGTAATGGAGCCCAAATACTGAACATACAATGCTTATTTGATTTTATGGGAAGTGGGTGATTTTAAAAGAGAGACTCTTATGTATAATGGTAACCGAATGCAAATTGTGAGGGGATGGGTGGGATATGAAAGCTCAGAATCAAATGGAGTTGAATTTTTTTGTTCTTATTTCTAAATTTAAGACATTTGTAATTGGCATTTTGACAGACTATTTAGTTGCTTATCGTTTTTATCTTTGTGAGAAATCATTGTTTCTTAAACCATTAATAGGTCCTCATGGAAAACTGTTCTTGAAGAGAGATCCATTTGGTGGGATATAATTAAAAAAAATGAATCAAAAGAAAATCTCTAAATGCTGGTGCCAGAAAAATTACAGCACACCTCAGTGAATTTGCAAGTGGTAAGTTTGCTTTTGATTTTACATGGTAATATATTTTTGAATTATGTGCCATAGTATCCTTGGAGTCTTATGCTTAGATGCACTTAATTGTCAGTTAGCAAATGTAGTTACTTTATGTTTATTTAAAAGTTTTTATACTAAGTTTTAACCAAATCTGTTTTCTTAAATAAGACTTTTTCCGTAGAGAAAAATAATCTGTAAAGAATAAGTTTGGGAAACATCTTATCGTAAGTGTTACATGGCTTTACAGCAAATCCTTCCGTGCTTCATTTTTAAAAATAATTTTTAAAGCATTTATTATAAGGATAATATATAGTGACAAAGAGGCCTAAATTAAACATTTTGTTTGTAAGTTTAGTATCTCTTAGGTTATCTTTATTTTTAAGTTAATTGAAAAGAATTTAAAAGTACATGGCTGTTGATAAACTTAGAAGAACATGTAAATATTTGAAAGCCTTCCTTCTCACTACTCCTTTCTCAGCCCATTGAGAGCAGTTTGGTTGGTCTGTTTTCTTGCAGTCTTTTTTTCCTGCCCTTGTGCAGAAATTACTTATGCACATACACACATATTTTTTCTAACAAAAATGTTATATAAACTGTTCTATAATTTGCTTCCCCCAACACTTAATTTTGAAAAATTTCCAACAGAAGCATTGAATTTTATTGTGTAATGTCTGAATACCTATCACTTAGATTCCTAACTAACATTTTAACAAATTTCAGCATGTTCATGTATCTTTTATCCATTTTGTTATTAATTTGGGGGAATCATTTCAAAGTAAATTGCAGACATCAGTATGCTTTCCCTCTACATAATTCAGTATACATATTGTTAATTAGGGCTCAGTATTGGTTTACAGTTTTTTAAAGGTAAATTTACATACCTGACACGCAACAATCTTAAGTGTACTTTTGCTGAGTTTTGGCAAATTCATACATCTTTGTAACTCAGACTCCATTATCAATAGAAACATACTTATTAGCACCACAGAGAGTTCCCTCATGCCTGTTTCTGGTCTGTCTCTATCCCTGTCTCTTTCCAGAAAGCCAGTTAAAGTCTCTTCCCTCTCCACTCCTAACGGATTTTGTCTATGTCACTTGTTTTATTCACTCAGCAGTATGTAGTGGGTAGTTATAGGCAGATCTAAATCTGCCTTCTTTTCTGCCTTAAAAAAAAATTGCAATAGCTTGGAAATAGTTTACACTATGGGTGTATTAGAATTTATTTGATCATTCCCTTTTCTCTACATGGACATTTAGATTGTGCCATGCTTTCGTGATTACGGAAAGTGCTATATCCTTGTACATCCTCGTATATGTATATACGGTCTCAGGAGTACTTTTGTAGGTAATAGTAAAAATAAAACTGCTGGGTAAAAGGGTTTTACTTTTTGATACATACTGCCAAATTGCCCTCCCAAGATGATTGTATCAGTTTACATGCCCACCAGTAATGTATGAGAGTGTCCTTTTTTTCTGTGCCCTCTTAACATTGGATATCATCTTTCTAAAAGTTTTTCAGTACAATACATGAAAAATGTACCTTGTTATTTATTTCACATTTTCCTAATCAGTAATGATTAGCCATTGGATTTCTTTCCCTTTGTGAATTGCTTCTTTATATATTTACATTGTATGCCTCTTGTCAGTCATGTGTTGTATTTTTTCCAGGAATGCTTTGTCTTTTAACTTTGCTTTTCATGTGTTTTGGGCTTCAGATGTGTTCATTTTTATCTGGTCAGACATGGCTGATGGGTCTTCATTGTGAAGGCCTTCCTTCTTCCAGGAATATAAAGCCACTTGCTACTCTAATACTTTTCCTTTTAATGAAATTTAGAAGAAAAAGATAAATCATTGTGAACTGAAGTGCCAGGAAAAATTTCAAATGGAGAATGAGATTCAAATTGGCCTTGAAGTCTGAGTTGAATTTGGATGGAGTAAGCAGAATGGTAGGGACGTTTCAGATAGGAGGAATGACTAATGGAATATCGTCGAACAGTGGTAACAAGACCCCTTAGGCTGAGGTGAAGAGTCATATAAAACTGTAAGCATAGACATATGTGTTTGGATATATTTCTTGGTAATTATTTTGGCTAATCTTTATGATTTTCTAAAATCTGCATCTTGATGTTATAGTTTTCTGTCCATTAATAGTTTTGTCATTTTCATAGTGACTTGAGTATTCTTCCTGAGGAGAATATGTGGTGAAATAAAGTTGCCTGAAAAGGCAAAAAATGGTAGTATTCCACTGGAATAAGTTGAACATTATAAATATTTACTCCGTCTGGTTTATTAGAGTGAAGTTATAATTGTTTTTAAAGTTTGTGCTGTAGTAATTTACATCATTTAGTCCCTGTAGTCGACTATAGTTACCAGATAGCATTCTTAAAAAAAGTTGAAGTACCAGTATATCCACTAGTTACTTAATCAGAGTTTTGAGTTATGAGCTCACCATTTAATATACAAATTAGTATGTTGGAATCTCCTGCTAATGAAAGTATTTTATGAATGCTGTCCTTAAGACCAAGTAACAGCATTGTGTTCAGTTTGGTCGTTGCTCAGGATGTGTAATAGTTCCTCTTCAGCCATAAGCCACGCCTGGTAAATATTAATTGAGTGGAGAGATGATCTTGCACCTCTTCCAGTTACGCATTTGTGGTTTGTCATCTGATTTGGAGCACTTGGAAGATCACTGTTTTGTGTTCTGCAACCCAATTGAGAGGATTTTGTGGAGCTAAGTTTTACCAGTCAGGTATTTTAAAAAATATATTCAACATCTTATTTGTTTGTTGTTATATTTTTCTATCCTGTGCTCACTTTTCCTTAGGGATACTTGCTCTTTTAGAGATTGTCATCTATTTGTGTTTACATCCAGGAAAAATGGATATATTTTAAACTCTACTTTTCACTTTGTAATTTTTTTTTTGTTGTGAGAGATCTCTTCTAGTGATAAAGAAAAATTTGTTGTTCTCTAGTGGAGGAGAATAAAAATGGAGTTCAAAAATGAATATTTGATAATTTTGCCACTTGTTTTGCTGGCTCATGTACTTTTCTGTTTCTAAAGTTAATAAATTTAGAAATAAGTAATGAAGTTACTCTCATATATACTTAATGAAATTCATGTTCTGTTTTTAGTCTTGAATAGAACTGAAACGTTAGTAATAATATTGAACATGTTGAAAAAGCACTTGTCATTTCTTTTAGCACTTGATAGTTGGCAAGGCTAAAAAATTAACATTGTCTTGAATGTTTCTCTTTTTGACTGTGTAGATAGCTTACCATTTGTATTTGAGATTCCTTTATTAAAATGATTCTTAGCAAATTAAATAGCATGCTTTATCCTGACTTTCATTTTAATGATACCAATCTGTCTTTTGATTTTTAAATTAAAAGATAAGTAAATGAAACTTTTATTAGTTTAGTGGCCTAGGCACTATTTCTATTTTAGAATTCATACACAAGTTAGAATATATCTGATGTAAACCATTGAGTGGTATTGCATTTGGGTTCTTTTTTTTTTTTTTTTTTTTTCCTGCTGCCCCAATATTTGCAGGATCTGGGGATGAGAAAACGGGGGTATTCTTTTAAAATTAAGTATTCCTTAGTGTCTTTTTCGTTGTTTCAGTAGCTTTATAGCTTGAAGAACATTGGCAAGGCCTCTAAGGGATGGTACCCTGAGGCTTTTCAATTGATTATGAATTGTTCTTAGAATGAAGTGGACTGGGATATAGGCTGAAAATCTGGGAGTCACCCTTGACACTTTCCCCTGTAACACCTAATATCTAATCAACCAGAAAGTCAGACTGGTTTGATTCTAACAATTGCTCCTTTCTGCAAACCTAATTTTGGCTTTTGCCTTCTCTTAGCCTAATGGATCTCTGTCTTTAATTTTATCATTCACACCAGAGCTTCAGTAATTTATTCACAGTACACATTTCATCATGTTAATCCCCTGCTTCAATAGCTTTCTATTGCCAAAGAATTCAGTCTTAGCATTCTAACATGGCATCTTTATGGCCTTCATGATATAGGCCCGTATTTCTTAGCACTCACTCTCCACAGAAAGCTTTATGATTTGTGATGGCAGGTTGTAATACCTCCCACAGTTTCTACTCTTGCTCCTGCTATTCCTTCTGTTTGCAGTATTGTTGTCACTTTTCATTGCTTAGATAACTTTTACTAACCTTCTAAGACTGAATTCAGGTTTCATCTCTTACAGGAAGACTTAGTTTATCTAGTCCCATCTTCTGTGCCCCTATTAACATTTTGTCCGCAAATCTGGAACTTACCATATTGAGCCTTTTGTCTGATTCTTTTTCCCATTAGACTGTTTTAAGCAAAGACCATGTCTTCTTCATCATTGTATCTGCAGTGTTTAGCAAGTAATGGGTGTGTAGTGGAGGCTCAGTGAATATTTGTTGAACTAAGTAAGTTCAACTCATTGTGGTAACACTGAAGTATTTGTGAAGCTTATGGGTCAGTGGTTCGTAGACACCAGTCAGCTGTTATCAGACTCTTGCAGAGCATTTTACAACATTTTATTGCTTTTTGAGCTTTATGAAGAATTATGATTCAGTAAATGTAGAATGGGGTCTGGGGATATGTATTTTTAAAAAGCTCCCCAGGTGTTTCTGGTTTTCTTACAGGATAGAGAACCATTGTCCTAGTTTATTATTATACCATTACATTTTATGTAAAAGGTGCCCTCTAGACTTTATGCAACAATTTATTATTTCAGCCTTGGAAGTTATATCTACCAAAGTATGGATGTATTTTAAGTCACTTTTTTGGTACTATATATATATATATATATATATATATATAGAAGTATCTTAACTCCTTAAGTGTCTCATTGAGAGATCTGTTAGCATATTGTTAACACTCAACTAAGAAAAGCCTCATTTAAACAGGAGCCTTCTTGAATTGATCATGATGAGATTTGCTGGGCTCCATTCTATGAATTTTAGTATTTTTGGCAATTTGTAATTTTCACTTTTTGTCATTTTTCAAAATCCTTAAAAAATGTTTTATTGTAGTTTAAAATTAAACTAAAGTGCACAGTTCTGAAGTATACAGCTCAGTGAATGTTTACATATGTATATACCCATAAAGTACCACCCAGGTCAAGATATGGAACATTTTCTTTTTTTTTTTTTCCTTTTAATTACATTTATTTTAATGCTGAATTTACTCCCGTGCCATAAATTTTTGTTTCTTCAGTTTCTTCTGGGATATCTTTTTCTTCTGGGCAACTTCCTCTTCTGGTTTAGGAACAATCTGTTCCTTTTCAGTAAGGATCATCTCAATGTGGCAGGGAGAGCTCATGTATGGGTTAATGCGACCATGAGCTCTGTAGGTTCGTCGGCGCATCTTAGGTGCTTTGTTCACTTGGATATGCTCGATGACCAGAGAATCTACATCTAAACCCTTAAGTTCAGCATTACTCTCTGCATTTTTAAGCATGTGCAGCAAAAATTCAGCACTCTTCTTGGGCCACCGACCTTGTGTCCAGCCCCACTGCTTGGCCTGGGCATACCTGCCAACTCCACCATTGTAACGTCGGAATGGTACGCACTGTTTCTGTAAAGTGACATCTTTCAGATACTTCGTGGCTTTTCGAATATGCATACCCTTGATGGCCTGGGCAGTTTCACGCGTGTTCTTAAAGTGAACACGAAGATTGGAACCTCTTGATTTGCATGATTTTGTGGGGTTCTCCGGGTCAAGTGAATAGCGAACCATTTTCACAGATTACCTCAGGCCGCTTAGGGAAAGAGAAAGCAAGATATGGAACATTTTCAAACCCCTCAAAGGTTCTCTCATGTTCCTGTTCAGTTAACATACACCCGGTCACCACAAGATAACCACCATTTTGACTTGTGTGACCATCAGTCTTCTGATTAAAGCTACTAAAAATTTTTGTACGTAATCTTTTGGTGGACATGTGTATTCATTTCTTTTGGGTTTACACGGGAAGTTCAACTCATTGTGGTAAGGACTGGGTTAAGGACAAACTTGTGTTTTAAATTCAGTAGATGATTCCAATTTATAGCTGTGATGGCAGTTCATAATGAAACATTGAAATTATTTGAAGCTTGGTAAAATTTGAATATCCTGAAACTTCTGTTTGTTTTCCCAAGTATTTATTGTAAAAATATATATACAAAGAAGTATCAATAAATATGTCAACTATAGAAAGAAAATATCAAATATGCAAAGAAAACTCACTGTTATTTTATAGAAGTTTTGCCAGAAATACAGTTTTTAGTCAAATTTTTCTATGTAAGTAATTGTTTTCTTTGTGCCTTCTCCTTAGGATCATCCTTCCTTGTGGGTTAGCAGGCAGTTATAAGACTGCAAAATGGGTCTCCGGATTCACTTTGTTGTTGACCCACATGGTTGGTGCTGCATGGGTTTGATTGTCTTTGTTTGGTTATACAATTTTGTTTTAATTCCCAAAATTGTCCTCTTTCCTCACTATGAAGAAGGACATATTCCAGGCATATTAATAATAAGTAAGTTTCTTGATCTTTATTTTCTTGTATAATTATTTTTCTCACCGTAAACGTTTTTGGAGTGTAGTGTCACTGTGTTAACTTTCCTTTTAATATATTTAGTATTTTAGCAGTGCTGTCAATATTCAGTTTTTTACTTATTTATGAACTTGCAGAAATAATGGCCTGTATAGATTTGCAGTTAGATAAAAGTGATATCTCCATTTTTAACTGCAAAGTACATAAAGACCATTTTGTTAAAAATAGAAAACTGACACAGTAGTGATAACTTGCATGTCTATCTGTATTTTCAATATTGCTGTTTTGTACCTAATTACAAATGTAGTCGTTTTAAGAATAGAGATAATATATGTTACTGAGAAGAAAGAATTTCATAAGAAAAGTATTGGTTACGAGGTTGATTATAGTAACACTTTGAACTTCTGGATAGTTATTAGTCAATTAGTGATGGCTTGCTTATGATTAAAATAAATTGAAATAATATATTTTGCACGTACATGGCATTTACAGTTTTCATGCCCATTACCTCATTCTGACCTCACACGAACCATGGGAAATGTTATATATATGACAAAACTGAACAGTAGTATGCAGTCAGTCCTGGATTGAGCACTCAGACTGTTCCTTTTACATGTACAGTGTTTTTTTTAATCCCCCCAACAGAATTCCTCTATTCTAACTAATTTAAAAATGTAGAATTATGGTGGCCAAATCTATTTTCCCTTCCTATTTTTGTTTTCTGGTTATTAATTTTAAAATGAAAACGTTTCTAAGTCTTAGTTCTCAAATTAATTGTTTTAAGATCCATCAAAAGGGACAGTTGAACTTCACTAATTCAGAGTAATATTGAAGATACCCAGTAAATACAAAAGTTTACTTGTTGGTATTTTGATCCTTTCTAATATAAAACATGTAGTAATTAAAAGTAAGCCTATTCATTTATGCCATTATTAATAGGAAGTCCCTGTTAAGGGATCTGATTTATAAGAAGTTTGAGTTATTATCATGTAAAATAATAATTAAAATTAGTACTATTTAAGATAGTCCTCCTGACAGTATTATTTGGTGAGTTAAATTATTTTTTAATCTTTTGAAAATTTTTCTGCTGATGGTGTTTATTAAAATATACATTTTAAACTTTAATTATGATTGTTGATAAAATGTTTTGAAGGATAAGTAACTAATTTCTTTAATTTATTTATTTTAAAGTATTCTATGGCATTGCCATATTCTGTCTGGTTGCCTTAGTGAGGGCCTCAATAACTGATCCAGGAAGACTCCCTGAGAACCCCAAGATCCCACATGGAGGTATGGTACTCTGGATTTATCAGTTTTGCTGATGCCAGAATTACTGTCTTTATTTACATATTTTATTGCCTTTAATATGTGTTGGTTATGTATGTCATCCAACACTGCTTTGAAGTCTTTGCTTGTATGTGTCTTTTCCAAACTTCTCTACTTAAAATTGCAACCCTACTCCCCCGGCACCCCTGCAATTTCACCACACCCCATCTCTTGGCTTCCTTTTCAGTTTACTTGTTTGTTTGTCTTCCACCTCCCATTCTAGATCTCCATAAGCTCTGTGAGAGTATAGATTTTTTGTTTTTGTTGTCTTCATTTACTCGCTGCTGTATCCCTCATATCCAGAAGAGTCTCTATCATTTAAGATGCTCAGTACATAGTCGTTGAATGATACATAATTATCTGAGAAGTTATATTTTAATTTTATAAAGGAGTTTTCTTGATGGTGCCACTTACGTTATGTTATAAATACAATATTGCTTAGAATAAATACTTGTAATATTAAGAATACTATTGTCTGTTTTTCCAAGTTCTAACAATTCAGTGAAAAATGGCAAGCATTTATTCTAGTTTCAGTCGAAGGTGATTTTTGATTACTCTATTGCAAAATAGCCATTCAGATCTCAAAAATGAATTAAAAATGTATTGCTTGTTTTATTACATACTGGGTATATATTGTATAGCCTTATTTATTTTCATTCCTGAGGCTCACTCTTTGATTGTTTGCTATATAAGCTTTGAGAACTCTCTGAACTTCTAGTAAGAAATTTATATGCCTGTGTAGTACATTGCAAAGCAAAATACTTTTTATAGTAATTTAGTAGTTTCCAACTTGCTGCACATTAGAATCCACCTGGGGAACTTCAAAAAATCTCAATGTCCAGGTCACACCCCATTTAGTTTAATCAGAATGTCTGGAGCATAGGAACCAGGTATCAGTATTTTTGAAAGATCCTAGGTGCTTCCAGTGTGTGGCACAGTTTGGAAACCAAGCAGTAATTTCTTAGGAAATTAGATTAAGTGACAAGTTACTTATAGTCTCCCTTAAATTCTGATTATTGTTTTTCGACACCCATCATTTGGAGGCTTAGTTGGCCTTGAAAATTCAGAGATTCAATGGGAATATTACACTGATGTTTATATAACTGTAAAAGTTTTTGAATACTACATTAAATATTAAGTTTTTATTAATGTATAGAGGCAGTAGGACTGGCATTAGAAGTTTGTGTGTGTATATGTGTTTTGCAGTGGGACAGGAGCAGGGAGGGTGGCACTCTGCAATTTGTATAGAATCACTTTTCTTCCCACCTGGCTTAGCTAAAACCTCTCTAAAATATTGTATACATGTGTTATCTACTTCAACTTGAAAATCCATTGGCCCTTGAAAATCAAAGAAACAGGTATTTTCTAACTTGAAGGCCTGTTTCTGATGAACTCTTTAGTTTGCAGTGGTGAAAGACTCAAATGCCTAGATGTTCCAGACACTGCAAATCAATGAGAGGGGCCATATAGCAAGTATTTCATACCTTATCTGAAAGTAGTTGTCTCTACTCAGCTACAGTAAAATTGTCATGCAATTAGATTGTTAGATCTTAAAATTCTCAGAATACAGGGAATCCTAATTTTTACTAGAAATTTTGTGATTAAAAAAAGACACTGGAAACTAATTTAAAAGTTAAGAATGTTGTATATGCCCCAAAATTTGTATCTTTAGGCCTAATTGACTAATTGAGTCTAAATGTAACAACTCTGTTATCTTTAATGTCTAGACTGTAGTGATGTAGGACACCCTGGCATCTTACTGACTGTTTGGATGTCTGCTTTACATCTTGTCTCAATTGGCATGTGGCCTATTTTTCTTCCCTGAATTCAAAAAACTTCCCATTCACTCCATTGACAAAAATACACTTACTTGTCATATATTAATGTTTCTCCATAGTCTTTTTCTAAAAGTATCGCATTATCATATGATCCTCATGGTAATTGTATGAGGTAGGTAGGCTGGGTGGTCAGGAGCATAGATTGTCCTTCCTGGATTAAACAGCTGGTTGTTGGTGTGAGATCCAGCCCAGAGACCCAGAACCTTGTCTCTGTCATCTTACTACCATGGATCTATATACAGATTGATAATTTTAGCTTTTTATTCACCTTTGTTACGAATCTGGGGAAAACTTAAGTCATCATTTACTTTTTGGTGCTGGTTACCTGATTCTTTTGTAAATATTATTTTAATTTAGTAAAAAACATTACAAAATTTTAACAGTGAAAAATAATATTGAATGCCTAGAGAGTTGAAACTATAGAAGAGTGACATTTATTCAGGAATGTTTAAAGGTTGAGCAATTTCATATAACTGAATTCTTCAGAAAAGGGAACTTAAAGCCCTAATACTTTGGTGATTTTAACTATTTTTTTTATTGAATTACTCTGAAATATTTTAAATGCCTTTCTGCTTTTTTGAAACACAATGACTTTAGTATGTATGTGACTTACTAAATATGAGGCAATTTGAATATAAGGAAATGTTCCATTTTCTCATGAAAAGATTCCCAGAATTTGACTTTATAAACTTTTGAGCATGTAGATGAAACAGTCAAATGAAATTGTTGTGTTTGTTTATATTACTTGAGTTGTTCACATGTGTATTTGAAATAAAATATAAAATGAACACCTTCAGTTAAAAATGTTTTTATCACTTTCATATTTTATGAAATTTTATTCAAGTTCTTAACTATGTTTAAAAATGGTTTTGTTTTGTTTTGTTTTGTTTTTTGAGACGAAGTCTCGCTCTGTCGTCCAGGCTGGAGTGCAGTGGCCGGATCTCAGCTCACTGCAAGCTCCGCCTCCCGGGTTTACGCCATTCTCCTGCCTCAGCCTCCCGAGTAGCTGGGACTACAGGCGCCCGCCACCTCGCCCGGCTAGTTTTTTTTTTTTTTAGTAGAGACGGGGTTTCACCGTGTTAGCCAGGATGGTCTCGATCTCCTGACCTCGTGATCCGCCCGCCTCGGCCTCTCAGAGTGCTGGGATTACAGGCTTGAGCCACCGCGCCCGGCCAAAAATGTTTTACTGAATATAATTTACATGCCATATAATTTATCCAGTTAGAGTGTACAATTCTATGGGTTTTAGTATACCCACAGTTGCGTAACCATCACCGCAATCAACTTTAGAACATTTTAATCAAGTTTTTCACTTGCATGTTCGACATGTGGTTTTGTCATTACTAGAGCCATTTTTTTTTGACATAGCATTACAGAGGAAATTCTTTCAAGTTAAAAAAAAATGCGTCATGTTTTGATGCAGTCTCTGAAAAATTTACCCCAAGCTGTAAGGATGCCTGTATTCAGTGATCAGGGTCATGTATTCACTCACAGTTTTGGTTTTATCCTCCCTCTTATATTGCTTTTTAAAGGTGATCTGTGAGAGACTTATTGACATTTATTTCCTACATTGACAACTGATTCTTGTCAGGGAATCTCTGTTAGGACCCAAACTTTGTGTTGATTTAGGTTATTTCAAGTAATGTTTTTCTCCTCAAAGCATTACTTAGTGATTTTAAATGTATTAATTGAGTGAGGGTCCCTTAAAAGGTGAGTCTCTTAAAAGACTCAAGTCGAGGGTGATTCCTTCCTTTCTGAGGGTTAAACAAACCAAGCATTGTATTATATTCATTCAAGCATTTACAGCATTAATAAATCTCCAGGTTAAACAAAATGATGTATTTATTCACATTAAACAGCCTCAGTCATTTATGGAGTTTGCCTTTTTTTTAAATTTTGTTTTATATTTTGATTTTTCTCTCCCTTAAAAATGTATCTGTTAGCTTTTAATTTTTCTAAAGCTATCATAAATTTTCAGTTGAATTCTTTTTCTCATAGGCTTTTAAAAAATATTACTACATGGCTAGTACAAAAATCATCAGACATCAGAATGTATCAGTCACCAAGATCCTATGTGGACATGAGTAAAGAAAGGAAAGGAAAATGACTAAGAAAGGCTTTGGAGATATGTAGGGTATGTTAAGATGGATGGATTTTTTTCTTGCTACACAAGGCAGAAGCACCTTCTAGATGATCAATTAAATTTCTAGATTTTGTACAATAGTGATTTCTCCTTTCTTCCCTAAGTATATAGAGATGTATGTGCTCATATAGATATGTGAAACTGTGAGTTTTTACAGGTATTTCTCATTTGAGATACTTACGTGGTATCTCCATGTTATCAAAGGAATGACTCAAGTTCTTTCTTTAAATCAATTTATGGTCCAGACCATAGATTAGCAAATAAATTATTTTTTACTATAAACGCCTGTAGTAAACATTTTCAGCTTTATGGGCCGTACAGTCTCTTTCACAACTCCTCAGCTCTGCCATTGAAACACAAAAGCAGCCATAGACAATATGTAAATGATGGGTACATCAAACTTTATGGACACAGAAATTAGAATTTTATATGATTTTTACATGTCACAAATTGTTATTTTCAATAGTTTAAAATTGTAAAAATTATTCTTAGCTCATAGGTCATACAGAAACAGGTGGTAGACTGGATTTGCCTGCAGACTGTAGTTTGTATCTGTGGTCTAGATTAAGAATTATAGGCTTTCTCTAACTATAGCCACGTGCTCTCCTCTTTTCTGAGAATACATTTTAGATATAAAGTGAAGAATTATATACTGATTTCTCAGAAATTACCAATAATGAATACACCGTGTTTATGTTTTAAGGGGTTGATAAAAACAAAGTTTTTATATTGCCTTTTAATGAAAATTGGCTCATTGTGGAGAGAGCCTCCTTCCTGTCTATATTCCTCGCAATGTGTGAATTCAAAGTTTTAACATTGGGATGTTTGGGAGCATTGAGCTAAGCAGGGGAGTGGGATATGATATGCTTGTGACATTGTAATATGCTATATATTAAATGAGTTTTTAGTTCACTTAGAGGTAAATAATACTAGTTTAACTATGTCAATTAAGCTTTAATATTGTTGCTCTTGCATGATTTATTTTCATTAGAATAACTAAGAAATGAAAAAGGATTTTCTTTTAAAATGAGATTTGAAATATAAGAGATAATTTCTCAACTTTCATATCATTGGAACAATTAATTTGATATAGGTTTTATTCATACTTTGTTTCTTCAGAGATATCTGTAGTGGGAATGTTTTCCCAACGCTTTACTGTATAAAAGTCCAGCATGTTGATGTTGCTCCTGACCATTCAACTAAAATAATGGAATTCAAATAGAGAATCTTTTTCAAAAATTGAATGCTGTCTACTATTACCTTTCACTTTTATTTTGAATCTTTCATGTTTTGATTTTAGACTTTTTATACATCAGCAAGCATTTAGTGACTACCTACTATGTGCTAGGGTCCCACTCTTCATATAGTAATATTCAATCTGAATATAGGAATTAGGCTAATCTTACTGTGCCCGTACTTTTAATGAGGTTATGGAATAGTATAAACACGAATGATGAAAATTAAAAGAATTTTGTAAAAGTAAAATTCCATTCCAACATATTTAAAAGATACATTTTTGTATAAAAAGGCAATTGTCTTTTCTAGGAAGATGACTCTTTCATAGTTTTCATGGATCTGATTAGGACAATTTTTAATGAAAACAAAAGCCTTTTCTCTTATGCAAACTTCGTGTTTTTTGCACAGAACTTAATCGTGTGCTATTTCACTACAGATGAGAGGAAATTGCTACTTGATGGTAGTTCAGTGTTTTGTGAAGAAGTGCTTTATTTTCATTAAAAATAATAGTCATCTTACAACATTTTTAACTACTGAAACTATTCTGACACCTCCCAAACCCATATGACCTCCTTTTCTAACCTGTCATGTACACTCTTAAATGAATCTATTGATGTTTTTAAAAATTAAATGATTTAGGGAAAGTGTGTGGAGGGGAATGCCATCTCTGTTTTTCAAATGAGTTTATAGGATTGATTTCAACTTACTAATCAACTGAAACCAGGGTCAGCATTATTTCTTCTTTAGAGCCTTCAAAAAATAAAATTCTAGAAATCAATTTGTTTAAATAAAATTGTTTTAGTATAATAATTTGGTTAGGCTTTAGGGTTTTGTCGTTGGATTTTACTTATATTCTCACAGTATACCCAGAATCCAAATACATTGTTTTCTGTCTCTTACTTTGACTATAACAATAGTGTCTTATTTTTATAGTCTTTTAAATTAGAAACACACAAAATAAGACATATATAGAATAGAACCACAACATTTATGGCAAACACGTTTACACCAAAGGCTTAGAAGAAGAAAAATCTCTTAGAATTATATGTTGAAGTCTTCCCATAAAATCTTCTAAACAACTGTTGCTAAATTTCAGCATTACCCACTTGCCTTCATTAAATGGATTTTAATTTCCTTCTCTAGAAAGGGAGTTCTGGGAATTATGTAACAAGTGTAATCTGATGAGACCAAAGCGTTCCCATCACTGTAGCCGCTGTGGCCACTGTGTGAGGAGAATGGATCATCACTGTCCATGGTAAGAGTGATTCACTTCTAGCAAAGAATAGGGGGGTGGGTAATAAAATGTAAATCTTACAACTTAGCAGCTTTAAACAAAAGTTACGTTAAAGTTACATAGTTTTACAATATCTTAATAAGGATATCGTTATTTAGATTATATGATTGATCAACTCCCAAAGTCATTTTCCCACAGAAATCCTATGTTTTCTAACAAGGAGAGATTTGAGCAAAAAAACTAATAATATGCAACCTAATATACAAAAGGATAAAGGTGGTTGTATTAAATGAGGCAATGTATATAAAACATGTAATAAAATATCTGACATGTAGGATGTACTTAAATGGTAGCTATTTCTAATTGTAGTAAACCATATATATCCGAATGTTTGTATTCCCTTTTTGTTTAATTAGTAATATTTCAGACACCCTGATAACCTCTTCCTTACCCCTTAAAGCTTTTTAAGCATTATGTGTTGGATATAGCTACTACCGTTATGTACGTGTTGAAGTATGTGAGTGATAATTAGCTGATTCTGCAAAACTGCCAACAGTTTTGGTCAATAGGGGGCTCTCTTGTAATATTTAAAGAAAATGTTCAGTTGAGAAATAGACTCTCTGAAAACAAATGCTGTGTGAATTCTGTATTGTATCTCATTTTAAAGCTGTCACAAAAATCTGTGAACAAGATATTGTATTTAATTCTGTTTTCTTAGCATTGGCTCTCTGTATAAATATTTAAACTGGTATAGTGTAGAGTTTGACAAATGTATCTGTATACATATATGTAGTATTTATGTTTGTATACACAGACATGCATATATGCAAATGTACATAGTGAGCCTCTTAATTTGTAATTGCATTTATTTAAAATTGATTCAAGTAGAGTTTAGCTTTTTCTAATGTTAATCAGTTTAGAGTTTTCCTTATTTTTGATAACTTATTTTGATAGCACAGTTAATCAGCAAACTTTCAGTGGAAATTTGTTGTTTTGCATAGACTGATTATTTAAATAGAAGATAATTTCCTGAAACAGGAAAAAATAAGAGCATTTTCGATAAAAGCACTTTGTTACTACATAAAAATTTAAAAAATTTCTAAATCTGTCAACAAGATAGAATAGTATATGACATATAGTTGATATTCAGAACCGTGCCTTGAATTTAAACAGATTAATTTCCAAGTAATCTTCTAAAGCTCAGTGATCTGTTTGCTCTCACAATAGTAATAGATTTTTAGAAAACTAGGTGAAACATGTATTCAGATAATTGCTAATCATACAGAAAACTCAGTTTTTAAGCACTTCTTATTGTAGTGTTTCTTACTAACTAAAATACAAATGTTCATGATGCAAGTGGATATTGATGCCTTTTTTTTCAAATGAATGCAATAGTTTAAGATTAAAAAAAAATCAACTAGGAAAGACTCACTTATTGGTGACCAAATAAGGTGCTATTTAACCTTAATTCTAACCTTGGGGTGATTTCTTTTTCTAGGCCTCTTGCTTCCATAGTTTTAGTCAACTTTTCAGAAGTTGTTAGCAGTGAGGGGGAAGTACAAAGGATTCGGAGTATCAGAAAGGAGGGTAGACAAGGGACCTAAAGAGATTCAGGAATTTTTATGATCAAATTTCCCGATAGAGCACTGCTGAAATGTTCAGAGAACAGGGGAAATATATAGTGTAAATTGGAAGCAAGGAAAATTTTTGATGTTTTCAGAAATTGTACTATTTAGCTGCCTAGCACAGTTTTAGGTTTGGAGGTCAATTCTCACAACGCCTCAAGGTTTTCTATATTTCTGGCTTTGATCTTTTTGTTTGTTTGTTTTTGTTTGAGATGGAGCCTTACTCTGTTGCCCAGGCTGGAGTGTAGTGGCACGATCTCAACCTCCACCTCTCTGCAACCGCCGCCTCCTGGCCTCAAGTGATTCTCCTGCCTCAGCCTCCTGAGTAGCTGGGATTACAAGCACATGCCATTATGCTCGGCTGGTTTTCGTATTTTTAGCAACGATGGGGTTTTACCATGTTGGCCAGGCTGGTCTCGAACTCCTGACCTCAGGTGATCTGCCCCCATCGGCCTCCCAAAAATCTGGGATTACAGGCGTGAGTCACTGCGCCGGGCTTGATCATTCTTTCTAAGTAGTTCAAACGTTGCAAAAAGAACTCATATAGATTGAGTACCTTAGTGCTTCTTAAAACTGTTCTGGTTAGGAATGCTGTGATCATAGACATTGTTTCTTAAACTTCCTGGGGACAGGAAGGATAGAACAAGGATAAGCCATCTTTCAATCAGCAGCTGTTGAAGAGCATTTTTGAGTGTGTATAAGCACACTTCTTTTATAATCCTGCTTACAAATAACAAAGCACAGTAGATTTTCTTGTTTACAAAACATGCACTGTTAAGTCTAAGAAATACCTCTCTAGGGTTTTTCAGTTCAGTTCTATATTTGACTTTAAAAAATGGTTTAATGACAAGTTAAAAAGAGCGATTTAAGTTAGGACTGAAACCTGTTACATCATTTCTTTTTCATTGACAGCATAATACTATTTTGAAATGAAGACATTTGTGCAAAGTCATTTGTAGTTTTGAACTAGGGTTTTTTGCTGGAATTTTAGGATATTTTGACAATTTGGATACAATAAATTTGGAACAATAAAATATTCAGCTTAAATTAGCCTTGAAAATTTTTGATTGTAACATTAATCCTCTTTCCTAGTTAGGGTTCACTGTTGTATTGGTGGAAGTATTGCTCTATGTATCTGTAAATAGTTTTGAATACATTTTTATTTTCAGCAACCAGGGATAGATTTTTAAAATCAAAAAAAGTTGTGAATGCTTATTAGTCATGCCGGAGTGGTATGTTTCAGCTGTTTTACTTCAGGGCATTCAGATTGCTTTCCACAGCTAGAATACTGTAAAGGAAGAGCAATATACAGGGAAGCAGGGTTCTTGCTCTCTTGGCCCCTGTGTCTTCTAACTGTACATCCTCTGGCTTAACTCCTTTGTTCCCTGGTTCCTTATCAGTGACACAGGAAGCTACCGTCTGCTCTTCCTGTCTCGCTGAGTTGTTATGAGTTGAAGGGGATCACATATGTGGACTTCCTTTGTGAAGTGCTTTACAAATGTAAGATGGTGTATTTATACTTTTCCTTGTATAGTTTGTTTTTACCTTCGAGTGGCCTTAGCATATCTCCATGAAGTCAAGCATATGTGATATTATTTGTTTTTATTTTAGTCTTGTTGATCCTGAGGTGAACTTAAAATATTGTTTCTTTTTCGTTTTTTTTCTTTAGGATTAACAATTGTGTTGGTGAAGATAATCATTGGCTCTTTCTGCAGTTGTGTTTCTACACTGAACTTCTTACTTGCTACGCACTGATGTTTTCTTTCTGCCACTATTACTATTTTCTTCCACTAAAAAAGCGTAATTTGGTAAGAAATGTTTATATCCACTAACATTAGAGCAGTTGTAGCATACAATTATTAACATGTGGTTCCTTTAAGTACAAAAGATTGGGAACAAAACAACGAAAATAAACTCCCAAATTGGTGAATTTTGAACTATATTGGAATTGAGAAGGTGGGCCCTAGTCTGACATTTCCTTTTCATGAAATTCATTTATGGTTATTTATTAGTGTTGAGTGGCTTTCTTTAGAAAGCAACACATTGAATCTTCAATATATGTGTCTTGGTTTAAAAATATCTATAATAATGAAAAACAAAGATGAAATGTTCGTTTCTTTTCAGGAATAAAAATGTAGAATGTATTTTTTTTAGCATAACATCATCAAGATTTTATTATTTTTTATTATTATACTTTATGTTCTAGGGTACATGTGCACAACATGCAGGTTTGTTACATATGTATACATGTGCCATGTTGGTGTACTGCCCCCATTAACTCGTCATTTACATTAGGTATATCTCCTAATGCTATCCCTGCTGCCTCCGCGCACCCCACATCAGGCCCCGCCCGGTGTATGATGTTCCCCTTTCTGTGTCCAAGTGTCCTCATTGTTCAACTCCCAGATGTAGTTTTTAAAGGTTCTCAAATAGTTATGTTCTTGAGAAAAAGAACTTTTTTTCTCCCTGACTTTCATCAGCAATGATAACATGAATTTGCAAGATGCTTTAAAAAGTTATCCACTGAGAATATGATGCATGCTAGTACGATAGTTTTAGAAATGTTTCATCTTATTTGTAGATAAATTTCTGATACAATTGGCATTAAAGTTAGATCATGTAAAAGAATGTACATATTCCCCAGAGTAATGTTTCAAATAGTTGAGCCTAATAAGAAAAGCATTAAAATGAAATTCCTCAGTAGGATTAAGGTAGTAATTTTTTTAAGTAACAGAGAAGTAGAATTTAGTGGTGTTAATGAAAAACAAAGAGCGGCTAAGAGGTAATGAATGCATTGTAGTATAGTGCAGTATTGGCAATCTCTGGGCCTTGTTTAAGTTCAGCCCTCTGCCTGTTTTTGTTAAAAAGTTTTACTGGAAAACAACTACTTTCTTTTGTTTATATATTGTCTATGGCTGCTTTTGTTTTGTAACAGCAGAATTGAATAGTTGTGGCAGAAACTGTATGGTCTGTAAAGCCTAAAATATTAACTGTCTGGCTCTTTACAGTAACTTGGCCAGCCTCTGGTAGTGGAAAGATCTTGTCTTTATAAACAGACATACCTAGGGTTAAAGCCTGTGTTTTCTTATTACATGAGTGAGTTTTGACGCATTGTTTAACCTTTCCAGAGTGGTGATTTTCTTCTACACTCATTGTAATGTGAATAATAATGAGATTAAATGAAATAATATATGTAAACTTAGCTGGTATGTGATAGACATTCAATTTATGTTACATTTGATTTTAGTGAAAACTCTCAGAGGGAGGAAGCAGTTTTCTTGGTCTATTAATTTTCGTGAAAATTTTAGAGACTGTTTTACAGTAAGCATTTATTACTGGAAGATTGATGACCAACTAAGGAAATTCCAGTAATCAAATGAAGGAGTAAGGTGTTTGAAATTACAAACTAATTTTCTTCTCTGAATGAAAGGTAGAAACTGGAGAAATTAATGGCAATTAGGCAGTCACCTTTTTTTAAAATGGAGAAATGGATTATAGGTTATATATGAATATGCTACATATATGTATATGTTTACATGCATAATGTTGGAAAAAGGTCAGCAGCATAGCAAATGTTTGTTAAAAGATTAAATATATCAGGAAGAAGAAAGTATATAAAAAATGAGTGTGAAAAGTGGGTTTTGAAAAGTGGGTTTTGAAAAGTCAAACCAGATTTTCCTTAGAGCAATCAATTGTAGATTCAAGCAGGTGTTTTTTTAAATAAAAATCATAATATGTTAGCATTTTACCAAATGAAAATCAAATCATTATGTTGGTTGTTAGAAAGCTACTTTAGGAATGAAGCACTACATTATAAATAATTCTAGGGATCTGACAGAGTTATTTATGTCTAGTAGTGCTGAGCAGAAATCGTTCTCTTAGCCTAAGTCTTACAGTTCCCTTGTTGTATCAAGTGGGGTACTTGTATAATTACCACCATATTAGCAGTAATGAAATGAAAACTCAGAGATTATTTTATGAAATTTCCAGGATCATTTTGCTTCTTTTTGAGGAATCAAGTAATTTTTAGTTTTGTTTATGATATATTATCTCAATGAACGAAGTAATTCATATATATTATCAAGTTAGGTATATGGAGAGAAGAGCTTTACCACAATATTTCCCATTGTAAGAAAAGACAGATGAATTTAAATACATAAAATTGAATGTTTATTAGCACTGTTCTAACCTACTTAAGTTTAATAGAGTAAAGCTAAATTCTAGGACCAGAATTATAACTAAACTTGAAGAAAGTATTTTATAATCTATGTAGCTCTAAATATTCCAATGATCTGAAGCAAATGAATGTTCAGTAGTTACTCAATATACATTGAAATGACTTCGAGTCATTTCATTGATTTAGAAGTTGAGAATTTGAAGCTATATTACAGATACATACAAACTTCATTACATCTTTTTGGTGGATTGACTCTTGTATCATTATAAAACATGCTTCTTTATTAATAATGATTCTTACCTTCAAATTTTTTTTCTGTTACTAGTTTAACTATATCAGTTGTCTTTTAGTTAGTGTTTTCATGGTATATCTTTTTCTGTCTTTAATACTTTCAACCTTTCTTGGTTACTATGTCTCATATGTCTTATAGACAGCTGATATTTCATCATTAAAAAATTGTCTTTTAATATGAAATATTTAGTAAATTTTTACTTAGTATAAGTGGTATTTTGTCATCTTCCTATTTATTTACTATTTGACTTTATCTCTTCTATGTTCCCATTTTCTCCTTTTCTTGCCTGTTTTGGAATTTCTAATTAAAAAAAATTCCAGTTTTCTATTTCTAGTGGCTTTCTCTTTTACTCTTTTTATAGTTTTCCCAAAAATGAAAACATTATTCTGATTTTTTTGAAGTATAATATAAGTTAGTACTTTACCATTGTGCACCTAATGAAAGCAGTGGCCTTGGAACACCCTCTGTCATCATCATTTTTCGTATTTTGGGGTGGAAAGTAGATACAGAAAAAAATCACATGGTAACAGGACTTTATCATTATTACATATACATTATGTGTTATATTCTTATATAAGTTATATGTTACCTGTAGTCAGTATTTGTTTTGAGTTATCTACGTATTGGTGCTTTTTCTAGTACTCCTTATGTCTGAGCCTCCTCTAGGCTTATTTTTTCTGCTTTTATTGCAAGTCTGTTGGAACAAATTCTCTCAGTGTTGGTTCCCTGAAGATGTTTTTATTTCTCCTTCATTTTTGAAGGATTTATTGTTTGGCACAGAATTGCAGGTTGGTGGTTACTTTTGTTTAGGTTTTGAAAGATGTTATTCCATTGTCTTATGGTTTCCATCATTTCTGTTGTAAAGTCAGTTGTTGGTCTTACTGTTACTCCAATGAAATGTGTTTTTCTTTGGCTGCTTTTATGATTTCTTTTGGTCTTTGTATTTTAGCAGTTATTCTGTGATTCTGTGATGTGCTTTGGTATTGTTTTCTTTGCATTTTTTTCTGTTGGAGAGTTTATGTAACTTTGAATCTGTGGCCTGATGTCATTCTTAAGTTTTGGAAATTTCTTGGCCTTTATCACTTCAAATAGTACTTCTGCTCAATTTTTTCTCCTGCAGTTCTGGGATTCTACTTACATGTACATGAGGTCTCATTGTGCTGCATATGTTCTAAATTTATTTCTTCACTTTCCTTTTTTATTCCCCTCTCTGTGCTTCATTCTGGATATTTCTTATTAATTTATCCTCTGGTTTACTAATCAGCTCTTGTGCCGTGTCTAATCTACCCTTAAATCCTTCTAAAGAGTCTTAATTCAGTTATTTTTCACTTTTAGAATTTCCATTTGATACTTTGTTTCATTGATAATTTCTGTGGTGAAATCACCTATTTTGTCATGTATTTTTTTTGAACATGTTAATCACAGTTATTTTAATGTCTGTGTTTGATTACTTTAATTTTGAGATCCCCCTGTGGGTTCGTTTCTGTTGACTCTTTTTTCCTCTCAATTTCCAGATATTTGGTCCTGCCCTCTGACATGCCGAAGTCAGAATACTGAGCATTTTGCATGACAAATTGTAGAAAATGTGGTTGATGTGTTCCTTCCTCAGATTTGCTTTACTCTTTTTTTTTTTTTTTTTTTTGATAGGATATAAGAGAAGGCTCATTTTTATCCAATCAGGTTTGTATAACAAGAATTTCTAATGCTAAATAACAGAACATTGGTCTCAACATGGCAGTTCTTGGGAAGATGCTGGTTATTGTGTTTATTGGTACTTTGTAAGGAATCTTGATTGCTGGATTTGTCTTTGTGAAAGACTAGTTTCAATTTGCCTTTATTCCAATAGTATAGTCCTTCGGGGTCTCAGCTGAAAAACTGAGGTGTTTATTGTGGATTGTGCCCTACAGTTACTGTTTTCCTGGCCTTGGAGATTTTGCAGGATGTTCTGAGTCTCCAGTTCTACTTGGCTTTTCATTCAGTACTGAGTGTGAATTGACAAGTACTTTCAGATAAAAAGCAGTGCAGAGGCTGGACGCGGTGGCTCAAGCCTGTAATCCCAGCACTTTGGGAGGCCGAGATGGGCAGATCATGAGGTCAGGAGATCGAGACCATCCTGGCTAACACGGTGAAACCCAGTCTCTACTAAAAAACTACAAAAAACTAGCCAGGCGTGGTGGCGGGCACCTGTAGTCCCAGCCACTCGGGAGGCTGAGGCAGGAGAATGTCGTAAACCCGGGAGGCGGAGCTTGCAGTGAGCTGAGATCTGGCCACTGCACTCCAGCCTGGGTGACAGAGTGAGACTCCATCTCAAAAAAAAAACAAAAACAAAAAAACAGTGC